CGAGCCAACATGTTCCCCTGCTCAAATGAGCAATGTTGTATCACCAATCCTGAGCCAGTGCTAGAAATTCCACATTTCTGCGGAAGGACCAAGTCTATCCATAGATGGCAACCAACGTTAATTTCCCACGAATCAAGTCGTCTCTTTGCTGACCCTGGAGAGATGGTGGCACAATTGACATTTTAAATCGCGACCTTCCAAATGTGAGAGACAAGTATTTCAACCGTGGCACCATCCTGGCCAGATCATTTATTGTCATCACTGCACCGCAATGCAAGAAAATCAGGGGCATCGATTGAGGATAAAAATAGATTGCAAATCAATTTACAACTTAATCGATTCCCAGTTGCGTGCACCCTATTGTGCTCTCTGATAGCACGACTGCGCACATCTGAATGCAACATAGTCCGGGTCAAAAGTGCATGAACATAAAACACCACCACAACATAAATGGTGGTTGTAAATGTGGTACGCGAGTAGTCGCTCGCGTGGAGCGGTGGTGCAGGAGTTCGCGAAATGCGCCATGAACCCTGGCAACCCGAGTTCGATTACCAGCCACGGCTGAGAAATTTTAGCAGAGTGACGTCTGAAAAGGTTCTGGGTACACCACATCTCCCCTTCATCAACTGGCAGCGTCCAGCATGGTGAAGTATGGTTAGACGACCACCGTGACAACATGGATGACATGGGGAGGCATCTAGCAGTGGATTAAGCAAGGGCTTGGAATGTTAGTGTTGTACAAAGAGCTGTCAGTGTGTTCCCAAATTGTAGTAATTTGTTACACTCGTAATTACAAATTTTCGTAACAAACTGTGAATAAACACCATATTTTAATTACCTAGCAACATTTATCTGAAAATAATGACAGTATTTATATTGGCAGTTTGATTATAGCTGATGTTTTATTACCACCTAACAGCCAATTGAGAAAATACAATGGGGGCTGGTACAAAAGATAAGGCGAGATGCAAACAAAAGTTTCAATACCGTACACACATTTAATGAAAATGTGTAGGAACTGGTCAATTTCTCTGGGCGTGATGGTGTACGCCTGTAGTTCTCTGCTATGGAGGTGAGATTGATGGATAATGCAGATATTATGACTGTTGCGGGATTTCTTCCAGCACTTTCTACTCTCATGGCCATGGAAATTTGTCATTTCCACCGCTGATACAAGACGACTAATGTGACATGAGATGGGCACCGTCTAAATGCTCGACTGAGCCGGAAGTTTCTTATCACTGTGGCTTAACCTCGTGGCTTAAAAGGAATTTTTCTAAAATAACAATTTAAATATGTTCAGCACTAATTAACATGAATTTATTCATATGGTCATGTACACATGGACTAGGGGTCGCGCGTTCGGCGCTTGTTGCAGATGCTTTGCGGTTCGAACCCGGCAGGCCACCCTGGTTATAAATGCTGGTGGACTAAACGTAAAATACATGCCACCTGCTTCTCTGCGAATGTTAAAGACCACGTGGCGTCATTCGAAATGAGGACCAACATCTCTGCCAGTGGCTGATAGTTGTTTTAACGCTGTGGGCACACTTGAAATGGATTTCTCCAAGACGAAGGTTCTATACAAACCCACTGGCTATCAACAAAGATTTGTTTATGAAGCCATCCAGATATATAAACACAGACACAATTTAAACCGAGAAGATGGGTACAAACTGAGCACTCATTGGAAGGTAAAGTCATAACTGGCTGTGATGCTTCCATCCTACTTGCCTATGTTAGCAGTTATTTCCGACTCTCTGAGTTACATTACCCTGTAAAATGTCTTTACGTTAACAGTCTAAATGCCTCACTAACATAGCTGCTGCTCCCTTTTCCTCTATGCTGCGGTGGCGCTCGTTGTTTAATAGGCTGAATGTCTCTCATTAACACAGCCGCTGCTGTGGGAGTCGTCTCACATTGACATGCTAATCTCTCATCTCGAGCAATACAATGGCTTCTTCAGCAATGGCCGAGGTATAGCTAGCTCTGCGACCTTACATTTACTTGCAAATTCCATCTCTAGCCCCGCCCACTTACCCTTGGGTTGTACCCATCTCAAACCTAGATAACCTCTGGCTGCAGTCGCTCTCTCGCTATATTTCTTCCTGCCTCAGCAGTCCGCCTGCTGTATTTTTTGCACCTGAAGACGATTGCTTGCGTTTGCGATCGAAACGTCGTGAATTTTTTATTATTTATTATGTTTATATCTACAGTGACTTTACCGAAAGACACAGAGAGTACAAACATAAACAATAGTTGTATTCCAAATGGTGAGCATCGGACAGTGTTTTTTTATTATTTCTATAATTTAATTGGGTAACAGTGGACCAATCATTAGACATTTAATATTATTGAGTTTGGTTAAAGTTTGTGACAACAAATCTGTAGCTCAGCACGATATCAGAGCACAATCCATTCCAGACTTGAATTAGCGATTAAAACAGCCCTGTCCAATCCCTTCACGTTGTTATGTTAATCAACGTAAAAGTTTCTAAAATCAATAACCTTTACGTCAGAAATGCATTTGCTAGCCAAATTAAACAAAGACAAAGATCCCCCGTATAGCCTTAACAGGCTGTTGGGGCAAGAGCTGTGAGTGAGTAGCACCTATGAAGGCCGGAACGGCACACGGGGGGCGGGACGAGCCAGCACCATGCTCGGACACAGACACATGCACACACAAAGGCAACGAACGGTCTTCTGTGTTGCCTTGTCGATTGTTAGAGCAAGTGCTGTTAGGGAGCACCTATTACAGCTTGGCATGGACCACACCACAAGCTGGTGGCATGGCCATGTATGTATGTTATATATATGTTTAACTTCTTTCACACCGTACGTAGCCAACCGCATAGAATCGGAGGTGTGGGGGAAGGACAGCAAGCTAAACACAAAAAACAGTTCTAAAGAACTGAGTTTCCATTCTAGATTTAAAAGTGCATCGCTCCCAATGGCTACCAAATGCCAGAAGAAAGAGCGTTCCAGATGGCCACAGAAGTGCAGCTGAGAGCGCGCGATGCGGCACCGTGGCTGGCCACAATTGTCTTACCACAGCGCTGATGTTGACATACTGCCAACAGGAACTCAGTTAAGGCCGTGTAGAGGTTCAGAGGAGTTCAGACACTCTGTGCCACTGAAGTGATCTACGTCGGGGAAAAGCACCCAGGTATTGGGGATTGTGGTGTGCAGTGCATAGACCAATGGAGCACTATTCCTCATACACACACACACACACACGAGTTAGGCAAACACACACACACACACATAAAAAGAACAACCACTGGAGTTGAAATAACACTCTCACCCTGAACAAAAATGTATACCTTATTTGATTTACTGTCTTTATCAACTTGCCAACAATTTTGTCCTATGCACCATTTTCTTTTGGCAACTATGTGGCTAAGATATTGGCAGCGTACAGCGACTGCAATAACCTAATGCATCTTCAAATACTCAGTTATTCAGAGCTGCTCTGGGCAAAGGCAGTAGCAATATGACATTTCGCTCTCTGTTATGAACATGCACCGAACACACGGCTCCAAGAGCCACGTTCTTGCTCAGACGTGGCCAGGAAAAACCCATCACGGAACCAGTGGGGCATGAAAATCAATGTCATTTATGTGTGCACGTACGTACGTTTGAACTTCCTTCGCGCTTCCAACCGTGCTATGGTTGAACAAGTACGTGACCATCAACGTAACAAAAAGCAGAAGATGCTTTACCACTTTGGCCGTCAACGGACACCGCCTTGCTAACTTGAAAGTACAACTTAAAATAGACGAGCCTTTCGAGCAGTGGGCAAGCGCCGCAGGGGTTGAACATGCGTGCGTTTAAGGCTGAATGCCCACATTATCACCTGCTTGGGTAACACCTGTGGCAAAATTGCTATGTTCCGTGAAAACAAATTATATTTTGATTTCAAGAAAGTTTTTTTCATTTTTACTTTTGGTGCAAATATTATTATTCTCACGGTGCTGTGAGTTCTCTACTCACAATTAAATTTGTTGAGATTTCAAATCATGCTCATGGCTAAACTCAATCCATCACTCCGTCAGGGTAGATCAAAATACGTACCGCTTTGCGCGGGAAGTACATATTACCTGCCTCATGCACCAACTTGCCTCCAGACAGATATGTGGACTTTCCACTGCTGAGCACCGGTCCACTTTGCATGTCATTTAGCTCGCATGAAGTGCACCGCTTAAAGTCAATAAACAATGTTCATATCCTATTAATGTCAGTAAACGTACAACTTTGCGATTCATTAAATGTGTATGTTTTATAAAAAAATATACATGTTATAATTTGGATTTCTATAGTTTAAGGGTAGGTTAGACCAATCAGGACATACACGTGGAATTGACGACTGATTTTTCAAACTCACGACTCAAAGTCACTCAGATGGGTTTGGTACCTTCATTAAGACCAATATCAACAAATGAAGGACCAGTATTGAGCTGTCTCGATTTAAGCTGACACTAATAACGTTCGCTCCACTGACAGTAGAAATATTGCGATGTGTTTTGGGATTATTGCATGCCACTGTGGCATGTGCACAATGACGGTGAAGATGGCTAGCAGGATAAATGTAGTAAAATATGAAGATGGTTATAAACTGAAGAACGTGCACATTGGTTGGTTTTAATATATATGAGGATCGTGTAGACTGTGATGCAAGCATCCTTAAAGCCAACCAAATCAATATTCAGGAAAAAGTTAGGCACGTTCCGAATGAGGGAAGTTAACAAACACAGGCATAGGATTGGCATTCAGAGGTTGGACAGCAAGGGGAATACGTGAAGCCAGATGCAGATGTTAGCGGTGCTGGGATTTTCCACGTAAACCCTGGTGGCTGGGTGTCCGGGCATCATTCGTTCTGTGGGCGTGGTGGCCATCAACAACGGTGGCCCTCGACGATGTCCTGATCCCCTAGCGGCTCCATACGCGATGGTACAAAACGCGCAATCGGGGGGGGGGGGGGGAGGGGTGGGGTCGTGTACCTGCAGAGCCAGGTGTGCCGAGGAGTAGGGATTGTCGCGCGTGGACAGGAAGCCACTGAGCACGGCAAGGTGCGACGCGGAGAGCACGGAGCTCGCCAGCACGGCCGCGTGCATCCCGAAGGGCAGCATGGTGTATGTCACAAACACCACGAAGAGGAAGAAGGACACCTGCAAGCGGGCACACACACACAGTGGCAAGGAGGCAGTGAGCAACAACATTGATCGGCAGTAGCACGTACACATTCATATGTGTATACAAACATATGTGCACAAGGAAGACAAAATATAAAGATCCCGTGCTCAGCCTACACAGGTTGTTGGGGCTAGTGCTGTCAGAAAGCCCCCTATGAAGGCCAACACAGCACACAAGGGGGTTCCAGCACCACACCCGACCACCTCTGTCTCCCCAGTGCCAATATTCACCCACCGCACCAGGTACTTATTTGAGTCTGAGTCGACCTAGAGGAGGCCCAGGACTGGTTCAGACAATCATCACTCGTGTTGGTGGTGGCCGTGAGCGGGAATCGAACTCGGGCTCACAGGGTTGGTAGCGCAGCGTGCTAACCACTGCGCCATCGCTTCCCACACACATACCTCACCCTTACCCATCCTCACCCCCCAATGTCACATCTCTCAGCCCGTGCTCACCCCTCTCTCCCACCAACAATCACTCTCTCCGATTACCTTTCTCCTCTCTCCTGAGTCGAACTAGAGGGAGATCTTAGATCGGGTCAAGCATCACATGCGTATGTTAGCTGTGGCCTGGAGCACAGTGCGCTAACCGCCACCGCTTCCCACATGCAAGCCCGCACATGTGCACACAAAAACAGAGATTCCCCCATGTAGCCTCGTGAGCATCAGTTTAGGACAGCATGGCATACAGGAAGTGGTGCATTTAGCACCACATCTAATATTCACGCTTTGCACACGTTAATTATGTTGGGCTAAAGTTTACGGCTGAGTTGATCGTGGGGAAACCCCAGTAAAAATCCATACTCCTGCTGTTGGTGTTTACAGTCAGGAATCGAGCCAGGTCATTTGGACCGCAGTGCAATAGAACTAAATTTTCAAGGAAATTTTTATTTTATTTTACCAGGTAAGGCCCGCTGAGCTATGTATCTCTTTTTCAGAAGCGATCTGGCCACAAATGACAGCTCAATGAAGTGGCTTTTTAGCCAAATACTCTAAACGCATGTTTCTAAATGTGGAGGGAAAACCCAGAGGTCCCGGAGAAAAATCAATGCGATCACGGGATGAACATGAAAACTCCAGATATACAGGCGTCAGGGTTGAACCTATGACCTCCTGTATACCAGACAAGGGAGTTAACATCTCGCCACCACGGCACCCCAATGGTGCACCAACTACTGAGCAACTGCTCCCCCACTCGCGGACACAAGCACGCACACACGTGCAGAGCAACAATTCAATTAGGGCGAGTACAGCGTCTAAGGAAATACAAAGTCTAATGCGTGTTGGACACGGCTTCTTGCCTCAAAAGGCTCAAAGTGTTCGTGGCAGTGCACCGTGCTTGCACCACTGAAATTCCGCCTTCATATCCCGGCAGCTACAAATAAATAATTAAGCAAGTGCACAGAAATCACAACAACAAAAACATTTATATAATCGTTTTCACCTAATCCAACGTGGTCCAACTCTGAGAGAGAAACTGCATAAATATTGGGCGACTCGCATGCAGAAAACAACTGTACATTCATCATGAAGGTACCCGATCTCGTGTTGGACAGGAGATGCTTCGCAGAAATGACTCCTACGCGATTTGTAATCATGTGACGACGCGATCAGGGTCCATGTCGAAGCCATTACACCTCACCGACTTTTCCTTCCCTTTCGCACTTCCTCAGACACGTAGTCGACACCGAACCCCCAAGGTTAACTCTCCACCACCAACATCACCATCTCTGTCTTCAGGTCTTCCCATGATCTTATCTTATGCTTTATATTTATAGAGCGCCTTAGCTCAAAGCGCATTACATAATGAAAAAACGGTAACAAAAATAAAAGTTATTTAGATGGCAAGGGGGTGTGCAAGGGCCGAGGAAGGAGTGACCGTAGCAGAGGGTACACGGGGGTCACGAGAGGGCTATAGGGGAGGGGTGGGATGGAGTGGAGGAGCGAGGGGAGAGGAAGGGAATGGGCAATGGAGAAGAGGTGAGGCTTTGAGACAGGAACGAACGGAGGTTAATGTACAGGAGGAGTTGATTCCAGCGGAGGGGTGCAAGGAGGGAGAAGGATCGAAAAACCGGATTGGGCACAGAGAGAAGGAGGGACAGAGAGAGAGAGACGAAAAAGATTGTGAACGAAGAGGACGAGAGGGGACATAGATGGAGATGACAGAGGCAAGATGAGGTGGGGCAAGACCATGGAGAGAAATGTGAAAAGCCAGCGGTGTAATAAATGGGAAGCCAGTGAAATTGAAGGAGGAGAGGGCGAAGTGTGATAATTAAATATGAGTTTGAAAATAAACAGCGTGGAAGCATTTAGAATTTATTGGTAGGGAGTGAGAGCGTAGGCAGAGAGACCAAGAAGAACAGAGTTAATGTTGAATGGATGCGAGCAGTAGTGGCGATGTGCGTGGAAAAACTGATGGCACAGTCAAAGATGACATCAAGGTTGAGGGCAGAGGAAGCGGCAGTGAGGGAGAGAGGAGGGAAACAGATGGTAGGAATGGCGACACGCCGGAAAGGGCCGTGTCAGTAACCTGCCTCAATCATTAACATGTCCCTTACATTGCAACCCTCCTTTCCGATTACATCAATAACAATTTGCAGTCACATTGGGACTTCCACGTTGATTACCCTTTCCTGCCATTTACTTTCTGTATCCCTTCATGCACCTAATTTCACAAGACCGTACACGGGTTAAAGACATGATTTTGGCTTTGAGGAAAAGCAAGCGGGCTTGGCCAGGACTATCCTCGCAAGAATGGGGATGGCAGTGAGGCGGAAACAACAGCGGTGTGGCAGCCAAAAGAGTCAATGCGTCCAACGGTAGCGTCCGCTACGGAGATGGAGCAATGAAATCAGCCTGTTCAGAATTGTGCTTGGGTAGACTGTTACATCGCAGGATTGTGAGCGATGGATTGGGAGAATACTTCATCCAGCAGTGGCTAATGATTATGATCATCATCATATTCAAAGGCCAGAATCTCCTTTTCTCCTTGCGTTTTGAAGCCTACCTCTCCGATCCATATGGAAACATATCCATCACCCCTGCTTCAAACTTCACCTCCCCACAGCACAGTTGACATCTCCGCTTTCAGAAACCCATCACCTTACCATTCCTGCAGTGTGTTTGTTGTTTGCCATTCATTCTTAAGTATAAACCCAAAATCATTATAAAAGGTAATTTTTACAATAATAATAAGTATAACCCGTAAAAACAAAGTTTTTCTCTATAAATCCTTTATATGCGTGGCGGCTAGAGTCCTCTCGTCCTCTGGCTTGAGATGGCTGCCACCTATGGGTCAGATGATTGCATTGCACCATTAAGCAATTGGTAATTAAATACAATATTTTTGTCCTAAAAAGTGTAAAATTTTGGAAAAAAAATTCACGAACATTAATTGTCACACACAACGAGTCTGTGTGGAAAATGTCAGCTCGATTGGATCACGGGAAGTGGGTTAAAAAACGACCGAAAGATTTGCACGGTCCTAAGCAAGCAAGCGAACTTAATATAAAGGATTAAAAAAACATGCGGGTTAACACATTGCAGCAAATGAGAGCCTTGATAAAGTAGCGTGTGAGCCTACCAGGAAACCTGGGGTTGCGAGCTACAGGGAACGCATGCAGAAAACATTTTCTTCATGCTGGGAAATTGTTTCCAAAACAACCGGTCATGGTTGAACAGGTTAAACTCAATCAATCGTGACTTACCCGTGGACCAATAAAATAATAAAGTATCCCAAAAGCTTCAAAGATGCTTCATATTGTGAAAAGTGTTTTTTTTTGTTTTCGTCTCACATTGCAAATAAATGGGTTGCATTGCAAATACATTGGTCATCCTGGTTTCACTAATAGCACATCGCATTTATATTTGTTATCTGTGTGGCCAGGTGGCCAGTGATTTTAATGCACAACTCGCAATGGCAAGGGTGTGAGTTCACATCTCAGGTCGTGAGTTCAAATCCTCGTGAGTAGAATGCACAACTAACAATGGCAACGGTGTGAGTTCAAATACCGGGTTGTGAGTTCAAATCCTGGCGAGTAAAATTAACAACTCACAATGGCAAGGGTGTGAGTTCACATCCCAGGTCGTGAGTTCAAATCTTCGTGAGTAGAATGCACAACTAACAATGGCAAGGGTGCGAGTTCAAATGCCGGGTTGTGAGGTCAAATCCTTGCGAGTAGAATGCACGACTCACAATGGCAAATTGTGCGAGTTTGATTAGGCCCTGCCATCCTTTTGTCGACTCCCTTTCACCTTCCCTTGATAAAATGGCCACCACTTTGTGAGAAGTCAACGGGAGTCCAGAATGCTAATGGAGATAATGAAAGGAGACACTTCGGCTTTACCACCTGCACTACTAAAACACTGAGACATCTATCATATGCCAGCTGCTTGCCCAATTGTCAGTGCTTTGGTTGAGACTGTTGTATGTCCCACTATATTTCACATCAAATGGCCATGCACGGGGCTGAAACTCAAAACCTCAGCAGTGCTGCCTCAAGAGCAAGGGTAGTCCTTGGTTGCAGTAAAGCCTCTCTAACCATCGAGGCTATGCAGTTGTGTCCCATGCAGTTGTGTCCCAGCTGTGCTGTGGGCAGCATACACAGTTGGAGAAACTAAAATCCAGCAAATTATCAATGAATTTTATTCTGACTTCCTGGAATTTGCTTGAAGATGCTTCACGCAGTTTCAAGTGAAACGTTTAATCGAATGGCTAAAATAATAATAAATGGAGCGTTGCCAAACGAGTGGTACCACGGGGCAACGCCATGTGTTTGGATATGTTGGTTGGTGGTGGGTCTTACGAGAATAATGTTGCCAGATAATTTTGTGGCCTGACCCAAGTCAAATATGACTAATAACATTGAGTGTGAAATTCGACTACCCGTCACGTTTACCCAAATGTAATGTGGCGTATTTTTTAAATGCGGTCTTTGGATGCCACGGTGGTATGTTAACTATGTCGCCTGGTATAC